CAATGTTTTTGTTTGTTTGTTTGTTTGAATGCTAGTTTAGCCCAGTTCAGGCCAGACTTGGCTCAAAGAGAAGCATTGGCCAGACTGAGAAAGAAAGGTGGGAAGACCAGCTCCCCTTGGATTTGGCTTCCTGTGTCTGCTGTGGTTTCCTGAAAGCAGACACACCTTCCTCCCAGAGCCGTTCCCATAGACGTAGGCATGGCTTTTCTTAATCCTACCTAGGGCAGCTCTACTCAGAGCCAAGTCCTTCTACAGACAATAGAGACTGGCAAAGAAGGGCACTGGAGAGAAAGGAGGAACGCGAACTTGTCAGGAGTCTGACACCAGTCTCCACTGCGGTCCCCCTCTCTCAGGCAAGGTCCCTGGCCTAGCTCTCTAAAGAATGAAAGAACGAGGCCAGGGTGATGGAAATCTGTATGTTTCTTTTCTTTTTGTCAGTCGTGGGGCTTGAACTCTGGGCCTGGGCACTGCCCCTCAGCAATTCAGCTCAAAGCAAGCACCCTACCACTTGAGCCGCAGCACCACTTCCGGTTTTCTGGTGGTTCATTGGAGATCAGAGTCTCACAGACTTTTCTGCCCAGGCTGGCTTTGAACCGTGATCCTCAGAGCTCAGCCTCCTGAATAGCTAAGATGACAGGCGTGAGCCACCAGTGCCCGGCTTCCTGTGAATACTTCCAAAGATGCCTTTTAGAATTCTGCTGTGAATGTACTTTGACCCCAGGGCTGGCTATGTTAAATATCTTTTAAAAAATGTTTTTTAATTGTTATAAATATACAGAGGGGTTAGAGTTACATAAGTCAGGTAAAGAGTACATTCCTTTGGGACGGTATCACCCCCTTTATTTTGAATATCTGAACGTTATCTGGTACAGGCATTCTTCCTGCGTGGAACATATTTGATTTCCTGAATCACTTCTTGATAGAGACGTCTCCTGATAGGGCATTGGGCCACCGTTTGGATTTAAAGCCTCTCCCTGTAGAAGGCACAGGCAGAGCAGGCTGATTGGTTGAAGGAAGCCATCTATTCCAGGCCATATCAGATACTTGGCTTTGCTTCCTTCATCTTGTAGAAGGACAGAGAGACAGATTTCCTCTGAGGGGCGCCCCAAGAGCCCAGTCTGATTCCTCCTTCCCCCATTCAGCTTCCAAGATCTCTGGTAACACCAAGAGATTTCTTTGTCCCTGTTGTATTAAAGGGTCTTCAGCTCCCACGACTTCCTATTGGTGAACTACCAGTCAGAACCGAGAATGAGCTATGAGTGGAGAAATCTTAAGAAGCAATAAGGGCTGGGAAGGTGGTTCAGTGGTAGAGCACTTGCCTTGCATGCAGGAGGCCCTGGGTTCAATTCCTCAGCACCACATAAGCAGAAAAATCCGGAAGTGGTGCTGTGGCTCAAGTGGTAGAGCTCTAGCCTTGAGGCGAAGAGCTGAGGGACAGCGCCCAGGCCCAGAGTTCAAGCCCCACAACTGATCCTCCACCCTCACCCCCGCAAATCGGCTTCATGTGAAATGACTGTGCCCAACTGTAGGCTGTGGATATTCTAAGTGTGTTTTAAGGTAGGCTGGATGAAGCAATAACGTCTGGTAGGTTAGCAGAATCAAATGTACTTTCAACTTAGGATACTTTCCATTTCTGATGGGGTTTAATCAGAGTGAATCCCTATGGTAAATCAAGGAGCATTTGAATATATTCCTTGGCGTCTTTCTTTTTCTCCCTGGGAAAAATAAAAATGTGGAAAGCCAGAATCCTTCGTTTGCTAGACTACGCCCTGGGAAATAAATTGGGTTTGTTATTCAAGATGGCAGACAGAAGGGCTGGGTGTCGGTGGCTCACGCCTGTCATCCCAGCTACTCAGGAGGCTGAGATCTGAGGATCATGGTTCAAAGCCAGCCTGGGCAAGAAAGTCTGTGAGACTTTGATCTCTAATGAACCACCAGAAAACCGGAAGTGGCGCTGTGGCTCAGGGGTAGAGCACTTACCTTGAGCTGAAGAGCTCAGGGACAGCGTCCAGGCCCTGAGTTCAAGCCCCACAACTGACCAAAAAAAAAAGATGAAGTGGCACTGTGGCCCAAGCAGTAGAGCGCTCACCTTGAGCTGAGGAGTTCAGGTACAGCACCCAGGCCCAGAGTTCAAGCACCACGATTAACAAAAAGAAAAAGAAAGAATAACAGAGCAGCTGTCACCCCAGGGAAGACATGGAACAGCCCTGTCCTCATCCATCACGGGAACTGTCAGCCGAGTGTGGGCGTTTGTGCCCAGGAGGGAATCCCTGCTTCTCTGCCAGCTTGCTCGCCAGAGTGAATGATGTGATCGTACAAATACTGACAGAACCGTTAGTTGTTGGGAAACGTAGAGAGAAGCAGAGATACTAGTTAAACCGAGCTGACTCCTCACTGATTAATAAAAAAGAAAGTCTGCACTCTAGAGTGACAAGTCAGGGAAAACTGTAGACTAAGCATTGGTGTTTTGAGATATGGGGGCGTGATCGGCGACAAAGCTGGAAGTGGGAATCAGAGGTGGGTGTCTCCCTAAAACTGCGATACAGGGGGTGAGTTCAATCTGAGTACAGGCTTTTCAAAAGAATTTTTTTTTGTCATGAGGCTTGAACTCTGGGCTTGGGTGCTGTCCCTTAGCTCTTCAGCTCAAGGCGAGCGCTCTACCACTTGAGCCACAGCGCCACTTCCCGTTTTCTGGTGGTTCATTGGAGATAGGAGGCTCGGACTTTCCTGCCCTGGCTGGCTTTGAACTGTGATCCTCAGATCTCAGCCTCCTGAGTAGCTAGGCTGACAGACGTGAGCCACCAGCACCCAGCTTGAGACCAGATCTTGATTCCCAGAGGCTGAAAGAGCTAAAACAAGCATTACCTACAGTATCCCTTCCCTCATTCAGAAAATTCCAAAGTGGCCTTTGGCACATCCCCGAATGATGCCTGCATCCTGGTGCGGTAGGAGAAAGGTTTCTCCTTCCCTCTCTCCCTCCCTCCCTTCCTCCCTCCCTCCCTTCCTTTCTTCCTTCCTTCCTCCCTTCCTTCCTTCCCTCCTCCTTCCTTCCCTCCTTCCTTCCTTCTTTTTCTTCCCCCTTCCTTTGATCCTTTTTTAAATTTACTTTTATTTCTCCCCTTCCATCTCTCCCTCCTTTTCCCTTTCTTTCTCCACCTTCCTTCCCTTTCCCTTCCTCTTCACTTCTCTTTCTTTCCTTTCATTCCCTTCCCTCCCTTCCTTCTCTTTCCTTCCTTTTTTTTTTGGGGAGGGGGGTCCGGTCGTGGGGCCTGAACTCTGGGCCTGGGCGCTGTCCCTCAGCTCTTCAGCTCAAGGCTAGCATGCTATCACTTGAGCCATAGCACCACTTCCGGCTTTTCTTTTATCTGCTTATGAGGAATTGAACCCAGGGCCTCATGCATGCAAGCGCTCTATACCACTGAGCCACCTTCCCAGCCCCTCTTTCCTTCCTTCTTTTTCTTCTCTCCTTCCTTTGATCCTTTGTTTTTATTTCTCCCTTTCCATCTTTCCCTCCTTTATCTCTTTCTTTCTCTCCTTCCTTTCTTTCTTCTCTTTCTTTCCCTTTCCATTTGCTTCTCCTTCCCTTCCCTTCCCTTCCCTTCCCTTCCCTTCCCTTCCCTTCCCTTCCCCTTCCCTTCCCTTTCCCTTCCCTTCTCTTTCCCTCCCTTCCTTCCTTTCCTCCTTCCTTCCTTCTTTTCTTCCTTCCCTCCCTCCCTCCCTTCTTTCTTTCCTCCCTTCCCTCCCTCCTTTCCTTCTTGCCTTTGGAAGAATTGCTCCACTTGGATTGCCTTGACAGAGGCCTATCTGTGACAGCAGAGAGCCTCCACGGAGGGGTGGAACCTCTTGTTCCCAAGCAGGAAGTCACCTGCTGCGGGCCACCCCCTCCCTCTCCTGCAGATTTTAATCCCTCCACACATGGCGACATCTCAGCAAAGTCACATCCTAGTGGTCATAGGAATCAGGTGAATTTTTTGTCGGGTTTTGCTTCCCTGAGTATGTGTGTGGAGGCAATCGGAGCTGGTGGACAGCAGTCAGTTATTAACCAGGCAATAACCCACAGGAATTGCGTTGGAGGAGTTCTGGGCCCAGGCCCCATGACCACGCAGAGATGACTGATGGACCGCTGGTTAGATCTTTGTTTCAGTGTCTAGTGTGGAGAAGAGACTTCTTGTCTCACTGTGGCAATGAAAAGAAACCATGTCCCTTTGTCCTTCAGCCTGGGCTGTATGTAGGGGGTGATGGGAGGATGTGTCCTTACAGTTTACCCTTTATGGTTGTTTTACTCATCTTTTATTTTATTTTATTTGTCAGTGATGGGGCCTGAACTCTGGGCCTGGACGCTGTCCCTGTGCTCTTCAGCTCAAGGCTCTACTACTTGAGCTACAGCGTCACTTCCAATTTTCTGGTGGTTTATTGGAGATAAGAGTTGCATGGACTTTTCCTGCTTGGGCTGGCTTTGAACTGTGATCCTCAGATCTCAGCCTCCTGAGTAGCTGGGATGACAGGCGTGAGCCACTGGCGCCCAGCTGACAAATGCCATTTCTATGTCTTGCAAATGTCATGACTTTATAAATTCTAAATGATGAAGGACAGCACAACCAGATGAGTGTGCAGTCTGGATAAATATTCTTTTTTCTTTTCTGCCAGTCCCAGGGCTTGAACTCAGGGCCTAGGGCGTTATCCCTGAGCTGCTTTTTTGCTCAAGGCTGGCCCTCTACCACTTGAACCACAGCGCCACTTCTGGCTTTTTCTGTGTTATGTGGTGCTGAGGAATCGAACCCAGGGCTTCATGCATGCTAGGCGAGCACTCTACCACTGAGCCACCTTCCCAGCGCCCCCACCCCTGATGGATTGGTATTCTTGAGCAGGGGTTACTGGTTAAGAATACAGGATTGAGCCACGTTACAGGCCTGGCTGCTGGTCCACGCCCCGGAAGACTCTGGGGCCTACTGTATGGAGACCTCCTGACATTGTCATCTGTCCCCTCTGTCCCCCCACAGGTGTTTGTGTTCTGCCATGGTCTCCTGCAGCTCTCCCAGCTGCTCTACAGCGCCTACTTCAAGAGCAGCCTCACCACCATCGAGAAGCGCTTCGGGCTCTCCAGTTCCTCCTCGGGTCTCATCTCCAGCCTGAACGAGGTGAGCAGGAGACACTGGGCCATTAGATACCTGTGTGTCTCATCCTGACCCCACGGGATACAGAGCAGAGGGCCCGGTGTCCAGAGACCTCTTGGAAGAGACACAGAACGCACCTGCTAGATGTCCCATCGCCAGGTTTGACTTCGGTAGTGCCTCACACGTCCTCCTCACTCACGACACACAGCAAGGAAACAAATCACTGATGTGTGTGTGTGTGTGTGTGTGTGTGTGTCAGCATAGTCTTGCCCCGTGTCCCCTGGCATGTGTCACAAGTCTTCTTGCCCTGCTGATTCTAGCCAACAGCTTCTGGATCTTTCTCAATGTAGCGTTCTAGGTTCCTCTGCTTAATCAACGCTAAAGCCAGCATCCAAGATGAAACCTTCTCCCAAGCTCAGCCCAGATGGTCACCAAATCTTTTTTTTTTTTTTTTTTTTTGGTTGGTCGTGGGGTTTGAACTCTGGGCCTGGGCGTTGTGCCTGAGTTCTTCAGCTCAAGGCCAGAGCGCTCTACCACTTGAGCCACGGCGCCACTTCTGGCTTTCTGGTGGTTCATTGGAGATGAGAGTCTCACGGACTTTCCTGCCCAGGCTGGCTTTGAACCGTGATTCTCAGATCTCAGCCTCCTGAGTAGCTAGGATGACAGGCGTGAGCCACCGGTGCCCAGCGTAGTCGCCAAATCTTTGAGCTCCCAGGATACATTCTTGTTCTGATGGCTCAAGATAAAAATGTCAATCCAGGAACAACTGGCTGTTTTCAGAGGGCATGAAGTCGCTGGGCTGGGGCATCTGGATGTTCTGTTTAAGACAGGAGGGAGCGGTCGGGCGAAGAGGAGGCATATTTCCCCCCATACTCTGGCCTAATCAAAATGAAAATAACACACACACACACACACACACACACACACACACACACAGAGTTGTTGTATTCTGACTGCCAACCCAGAGTCCTTGAGTTCTTTACTTAGGATCTCTGGGTCTCACTCGGCCCCTCGGCTCTCTCCACAGATCAGCAATGCCATCCTCATCATCTTCGTCAGCTACTTCGGCAGCAGAGTACACCGGCCGCGGCTGATTGGCATCGGGGGCCTGCTGCTAGCTGCAGGTGCCTTCGTTCTCATCCTTCCACACTTCCTCTCGGAGCCGTACCAGTACACTGCGGTCAGCACTGGTGAGTGATTCCCCCAAACCAAGCAACGAATATACAGCTCCGGTATAGCCAGGCAGCAGTGGCTCACACCTGTCATCCCAGCTACTCAGGAGGATGAAATCATGGTTCAAAGTCAGCCTGGGCAGGAAAGTCCACATGAGACTCTGATCGCCAGTGAACCACCAGAAAACCGGAAGTGGCGCTGTGGCTCAAGTGGTAGAGCGGTCGCCTTGAGCTGAAGAGCTCAGGGACAGCACCCAGGCCCAGAGTTCAAGCCCCACGACCACCACCAACACCAACAAAAATCAAGGGTGTGGAGTAGATCAAGTCTAAGAGATGAATTGGTTGGAATGATGGAGGCGATTCCTCTATAGGAATGGAGCGTTAATAGAATGATCTCATGACTTAAGGTCCACTGGGTTGTGCTTCGGGAAGCCTCTCTCCCACCTTCTCCGTATATCATCGGTGCCCTGGTCACTTCTCATAAGTGCACTGGGGTCTTGGATCTATTTGCATTTAAAAGCCGAGTCCTGTTTCATGGAGGTTGGGAAAGGCTGAAGACAGACCTGAGCTCACCGCCCACCATTCTTCTCCTGTACCTCCTCTCTTCCATCTAGATAAATGTCAAGACCAGTAGTGAAGGAGTCCGGAGTTGACCTCCTCCCTTCCCTCCTATCCCCATGCGTCAAGATGGGGCTTCATGCAATCAGGAAGGGAGTCTAGGGGGGCCCTGGGGACCAGGCCACTGGTTAGGGCTCACAGCCCATTCACATAGCCATGGCGTGGTGGCTAGAGATGGAGCCTCACTCTGTTCCTTAGCTAGTGGGATTGGATTCAGCTCCCCAGTGGGAAATGCCCTGTGATGGGTCTAACGTGAGCCTCAGTGCTCTTAGGGTCCAGATCATCTTGAAAGAGGACAGGAGGGGACCAAGAGAAGGATTTGCCTCTCAGGGTCCCCCCCCCCTCCCAACTCCGCAGGGGAACAACCATCAGCCGGGAGGAACGGACTGTTTTGTTTGGGCAAATTCTGATTGCCAACAATGGGACCAAGCAGTCACGCTTTGGAGCCACAGCTGGCATTGGAGCCACAGCTGGAAGTGCTCAGGGGTTGGGCTATCTTCAGGGCATCTTCCTGTTGCCAGGAGGTGGGGTGAAGAGGAAACTTTGGCCCAGGAGCTGCATCTGGGGGGGTGGTGTGGAAATCTCACTGGGCCCATCCACGGGGTCCCCATGTAGCATGGGTGTGTGATAGGTGAATAGGTACAAAGAAACATACTCGTCGGTCTCACTGAGTGTGTGTGTGTGTATCGGAGGGAAAGACGGGCACGTGATTCCTATTTCGAATGTATTTTCTACGGGAAACATCAAATGATGCAAGCTTGTCAGGAACAAATGCATCTCGTGGAGTGGCCGCCCCCTGAAGAATGGGGGTAACCGAATGGCCCCCCTGGAGCCTGGCAGTTGGGAAGTTGGGAGTTGAGACGCTCTTAGAGGGCCAGACTGGGAAAACCTCTGAGCCTCAGCTCCTCCCCGAGGATCTGTCTTATAGACCTCATAGCCTCATAGTTAATCTAAGGGCTGGTAGCGGGGTGGTTCTTTGTAGGCTGGTAGGGGCTGGTGTGTAGGGGGACAATGTGTGTCTCTAATGACACTGGGTACATGACTAAGTCTTTGGAATCCTTGATGAGGAAGCACCCTGCTACTTACTACTACTACTACTACTACTACTACTACTACTACTACTACTACTACTATTATTATTTTGTCAGTTGTGGGGCTTGAACTCTGGGCCTGGGCGCTGTCCCTCAGCTCTTCAGCTCAAGGCAAGCGCTCTACCACTCAAGCCACAGCACCATTTCTGGCTTTTAATGTTTCTGTGGTGCTGAAGAATCAAACCCAGGGCTTCATGCATGCAAGGCAAGCACTTTACCACTGAACCACCTTTTCCAGCCCAAAGGGCCTCTAACTCTTGCTTGGCTTTTTCGCTCAAGGCTGGTATTCTACTACTCTTGAGCCACAGCTCCACTTCTGCCTCTTGGCTGGTTAATTGGAGATGAGAGTCTCATGGGTTTTCCTGCCTAGGATAGCTTCAAACCACAATCCTCCCAGATGCCAGCCTTCCTAAACAGCTAGGGTTACTGGCATGAGCCACCGGTCCCAAGGTAGCCTGAGGATTTTGGTGTGACAGAGAAACCATACAACTATGGCTTTTCAGTTCTAGCTCAGCCATTCAAGTCTCCTTAGAGAGACTTAGCAACTTTACCTTTCAGAACATCTTTACCTGTGAAACAAGAACAGTAATCCCTTTCAGTGTGGTTTGAGAGCAGAATTAAAGTGGAAGAGTATAGGTAAAAAGTGCCTGGCTCAAGTTGGCAGTTAAGCAGATTTGTATTTGTCTACTTCTCCTGGCATTTGAAATCTGTTACTCATAAGTAACGGCTCCTACACTTATTATCATGGTGGACTGCTCACTTTCTCTCTGCTTGGAGCACAGCTATTCCAAAAACAAACATGGGAAAATTGAAGACTAACTATGCGTCTTGGTAAATAAATAAAATAAATAGTTTTTAAAAAAAAATTAAAGAAAGGTTGAACATTTATGGGAAGCATGGAGACCTTTAACAACTAATGGGTCATTTCTGAAAAAGGCCAGGCATGCAGACATTTATGGATGTTTAGATTTTTTTTCCCCCTAAATGTCACTGGGGTCCAGAAATATGCCCTGGCGCCTTGGTAGAAGAAACTTAAGATACCCAGCCAAAGCCTTGTCCGAACCCACATCTAGAAAGCGCACGGAGACTTTAGGAGATGGGAAACCGGCCAGCCGACCCGAATCCAGTTCTCCCAAGAGATAACAGAAAAAGGTCTTTGGAAAGTAGTATCTGCTAGGAGGAGGTGTAAGCCAAGTCCAAGAGGAAAGTCTACCTTGCCAGACAATGGAGACATCCGCCCGACAGGAAGCAACTCAGATCTTAAGCAGGAAAGGGGAGTGGAGATTGCATTTTTAAAAAAGCTTTTTTGAAAGAGCCCAGAAAAGAAAAGGAAGAGCCACTTTCTAGTTATTCATGAAGCTTCCAGTCACACACCCACTGTTCATCCATCCCAAGGCCGTGTTCTGGGAAGAAGGGTGATGCGAAGTCACCAGAATAGGTTCCTCAGTGATTGTCCCCACTTCCTTCCTATGCACAGGGCCCCTAAGCGCCCAGAGTGGAATCCATACCCCCAGAACACGTGAGCCATGAACCCAGGGTCCTGACACCCAGCTGTGGCGTGAAATGGAGAACGTGAAGGGGCATGTGGCGTGTAGGGGACCGTGTGTGTGTGTGTGTGTGTGTGTGTGTGTGTGTGTGTGTGTGTGATTTCTAGTTTGCAGGATGAGGGTGGTAGTAAGGTGCCTGGGTATGGAAAGGTGGAAGGGGAGATGGAGGTTGAATGGATAATGGAGGGGGGGGAACGTGTATGTGGATCTGGGGGATGCGGATATTGGAGGTGTGGTAATATGCAAAAATGCAGATATGACAGAAAATCAGGGAAGGGTGTGTATGTGTGGGTAGGGTTGGGGACCCAAATGGTAGGGTGGTAGGTGGCTGGAGGGTACACTGCCAGCCAGATCGGGGCGTACCTGCCAGGAAAGTGTGTGTGTGTGTGTGTGTGTGTGTGTGTACACATATGAGTGTGTGTGTTGGGGGTGAGTGGATGGGCAGTCAGTGTGAGAATTACACAACTTGTCCAGTTGGGTATTATGAACCTGAAAAGGGATGAGAGAGAGAGAAGGAGAGACAGACAGACAGACAGAGATGGAAATCTCAAAAAACATATGGGTGTTATTAGTTCAATTGAAAGCGAAATAGCCATGAACAGATGAGCTAAGCAAGACCTAATGAGATTTGATGGTCCACATTTTAAAAATTTTGTTTTCTTTTTTCTTTCTTTGTCGGTCATGGGGCTTGAACTCTGGGCCTGGGTGCTGTCCCTGCACTCTTCAGCTCAAGGCGAGCGCTCTACTGCGTGAGCCACTGCACCACTTCTGGTTTTCTGGTGGTTTATTGGAGATAAGAGTCTCACGGACTTTGCCGCCCAGGCTGGCTTTGAACCACGATCCTCAGATCTCAGCCTCCTGAGTAGCTAGGATGACAGGTGTGAGCCACCGGCACCCCGCTAAAAATTTTTTTTTTTAAATGCATGGCATGAGAGAAATAAACAGGAAGATGAGATAGAAAACGGGTGGCTACTGGGCTGGGTTGCAGACATGGCAGACTGAAGGAGCAGCAAAGACTCCGAAGATGGCAGAGCCATGGGATGACAATGGGATGATGGATAGATTCTTCCAAGGGCCGCTGGCTGCAGCTGACCTGCGAGTAAGTTGATCCCCTCAGGTTCCTCTAATGTCTCCCTTTGTAGACAAGTGTGAGATAGATTCTCTAGACCTAAAACCATGACCCTCATTTCTCCACTGGTCCGGTGAGGACCAGAGAGAACATGGTTCCCTCCCCGTGTCTGGCCCTATGAGTATGTCCAGTTGTGTTCTTCATTCAAGAATGAGGATGAGGGCTGGGAAGGTGGCTCAGTGGTAGAGTGCCTGCCTCACATGCGTGAGGCCCTGGGTTCGATTCTTCAGCACTGCATAAGCAGAAAAAGCTGGAAGTGGCGCTGTGGCTCAAGTGATAGAGCGCTCGCCTTGAGCTGAAGAGCTGAGGCACAGCGCCCAGACCCAGAGTTCAGGCCCCATGAGCAACAACAACCACACAAAAAAAAATCAAATGGCTCACCTAAGCTGCCACCCTACCTGTGTGGGAGCGCTCATGGCTCACACCTGTAATCCTAACTGCGCAGGAGGATCTCAGTTCAAAGCCAGCCAGTGCAGGAAAATCCATGAGACTCTTATCTCCAAGGAGCCTGCAAAAAGCCGGAGATGGACCAGTGGTTTAAGTGGTAGAGCAAAAAAGCTAATAACAGTGTTGAGGCCCTGAAGTTAAGCCATGTATCGTGACATAGATGTTAGTTTTTATATCATCATGAAG